TCGGCTGCTTCAGCCCGCCCTCCGCCCGCGCCTGCGCACTGCCCGCCGCGCCTGCGCACCGCGCTGCCACCGCCGCCGCCCTCCCGCGCGCGCGTGCCTCCCCGCGAGACAGGCCCTGGGAAGCCCTCGGGGCGCTCTGCGCCTGCGCACAGCCCGCTTCCCCCGCCTCCCCTTCGGCTCGTGGACGAGCCGCGCCCCCTCGCCGCGGGAGCGCGCGCGTGTCCTCCGCGTGTGGGCGGGGCCAGAGTCATGAATGATTCATGAGACGGGTCTCGCCATCCTCAGGCCTTAACCTGTATCTCCATTCAGCCACACAAATTCAACAAATATTTGTTAAACGCTGTACGGCAGACCGTGTTTTACGCATTGGCACCAAACAAAATCGACAAAAATCCCTGCCCTCGTGGAACTACCTTCTAGGGAAGGTAGACAGACAAAATTTCAAGAAGCCTATAGTATATTCCGCCGAGGTGATAAGCGTTATGGACAAACATCAAGTCTGAGCTGGGGTGTAAATGAAGTTGTCACGGTAGGCTTCTCAGAGAAGGAGGACACGAAATGGACATGGGAGATGGGTAGATTGGAATAGATCCTGGCTGACTGGGAAAGTGGATGGAGGATTTTTTGGACTTGTCTATTTTTGGACTTACCTATTTTCATTCATTCATTCAAATATTAATTGAGCACCTACTGTGTACCGGGCACTGTTCTTGGGCGCTGGCGATATAGTGCTGAGCATGATAAGCATGCGTAGTTCTCAAGTGGCTAGCACTGCAAGGGCGGTGGGGGTTGGCAACAATAAATAATAAACACAGATAAATGACATTGCCACATTAATAGATGTCTCAAATTTAAATATCCAAAGCTGAGCTCCTGACATTCCTCCCAGATCTGCTCAGCCCACGGTCATTGGCATCTCAGTTAATGGTGCTTCCAGCATTCCAGCTGCACAGGCAATGAACCTTGCGGTCATCCGTGACTCCTCTTCACACCCCACATCCAGTTCTTCCGGAAATTCTGTCAGTTCTATCTTCCAAGTACATACAGAATCCACCCACTTCCTCCTGCCCCCGTGGCCCCACCCTGGTCCTGCCCACCCAGCCTTGTCTTCAGTTGGACCACTGCACCAGCCTCCTCTCCATCTCCTTGCTCCTCCCACCGCTCCCCACTCTGTTTCCCACAAGAAGCCAGAGGCAGCCTGTGACCACCTGTGTCAGATCAAGTCTCTCCCTTCTCTGCTCAGAACCCTCCCTGGCGCCACAATCAGGGTCCAAGTCAAAGTCAAGGAAAGGCGGAAAGGCTGCAGGCCTCTTCCCTGCCCTGGGGCTTCAGCCAGACCCACAAGGTCTTCCAAGTCCTGGGCGCCCTGGTCCCCATGTCCTCTCCCAGCTCACCACCCACTTCGCCCCTCTGAGCTCGTGCCTCACTGCTGACCTCCTTGCTGTTCCTCTGACACACCAGGCGTGCTCCAGCCTCAGGGCCTTTGTGCGTGGCCTTGTTACCAGTGCCTGGAACACTTTCCCCAGATACTGGATTCCCCCGAGACTGGGCTCACAGCTTCCTCCCCTGTAGGTCTGCGAAAGAAAATATCACCTCCTCAGTGAGACCCTCCGCAACCACCTTATTTAAAGTAGCACCCCACACCTTCCCTGCTTTATTTTTTCCAAGTACTGATCACCAGTTAACGTACATGATTGGTTTATTCATTGTTTATCTGTCTCCTTCCCAGGAAGGTCAGCCCATGGGAGTGGGGATCTTTGGTCACTGCTGTATCCCTCGTCTCTGAAACGGGGTCTGACACCAGAGAGAAGCTTAACAAATCCTAGGGGAACGAATGAACAGACTTACAACCATGGTGAGGAATTGGAATTTTTCTTATATTGAGAGATAATTGACATGTAATGAATTTTATTTATTTTTTTTTGCTGGGAAAGATTTGCCATGAACTAACATCTATTGCCAATCTTGCTCTCTTTAGTGCGTGTAGGTGAGCTGCTGCCACAGCATGGCTACTGACAGACAAGTGGTGTAGGTCCACGCCTGGGGAACCCAACCTGGGCCACTGCAGCAGTGTGCCCCGAAGTTTAACTACTAGGCGACCAGGGCTGGCTCAACGAATTTTATTCTAAATGCAATGGGAAGTTAACAGAGGATTTTAAGCAGGGCTGGCATCTGATTCACAGGGTCCCTCTGGCTACAGCAGGGGAGGGAACAGACTGTAGAAGGTGGCGAGAGCTCAAGGAGGCTGCTACAATGATCTAGATAAGGGTGGACAGAACCAGGGTCTGGAAGAGGAGAGAACGATAGAGGAGGGCAGTGGGAGGACTTGGGAAAATGAAGCTGACCAGACTTACTGTCATGAATTTGATGGGGGGTGGGGATGAGGGAAGGATCAAGACTCAAGACGGCCCCTAGGTTTGGGACCTGAGCAACAGGGGCATGTGAAGAACTTTATTGAATTCAGAGGACTTGAGGGGTGTGGTTGTCAGGGAGGGTAAGAAGGTAAGGGTTTGAGTTAGACTAGGCAGAAACCGGCTGACAGTAGGTAAGGAGGGGATGGGAATTGGAAGACATGGCTCCCCCAGGTAAGGAGCTGCAAGGATCTCCCCCCACCCCTCTCAAAGGCATTGGAAGGAACCCAACAGCAAGCAAAGGAAGGCAACAAGGCCTGGGCAGCAGCCCACTTTCCCAGAGGACACTGGGCCCTGGCCAAAGCCCCAGGAGTGTCGGTTGTTTCCAAGGCTGGGCTGGGCTGGGCAGGCAGCTTCTTCCTGCTGGACTTGGAGAACAAGCCCAGGGTTCTTGTGTGGGCCTGGTCAGCAGGGAGAGGCCACTTGGGCGACGGGCCATCTGCCCCTGCCTGCCTTCTCCCGGTGGACACTGAGAGACCTCCCAGACCAAGGGCTCAGAGATGAAGCAGACGGCCCCAGGCAATGAGGTTTAAATTAAAGGCCCCCTTTAACTGCCAGCCTTGAGGCCACTTCCCGGCAGCCATCCATGGACAGCGCAGTAATAACAGCTGCTATCTAGTGAGGGTCAAAGGGCAGCAGGCAGGGGCTCAGGGGGGTAGGAAGAGACAGGAAGGGGCTCTGGGTGAAGGGGTACAGCCAACGGGCCCTGGCTTTAGGTCCACCACTTCTTGGAATCCTCGAGACTTCAGGACTTGAGTTGTACCCCATTGTTAATACTACTCAGGCACACAAAGGAGGGAGGGCTGTGTCCTCTCGGGGTGGGACGCGAACAGACACTGGGATGTCTAGAAGTGGCTGTGGAAGTGGCTGAAATAGCAGCCAGCAGACAAGCGACAAGTTTACGATCTCTTACAATGTGCCAAGCTGCTCTCAGCTCTGCGCCTGCATTAACTCACAGCAGCTACTGAAGTGGGTACCCTCCCGAGCTGTCAAACAGAGGCACCGGGAGGGTGACAAGATACCCAAAGCCACTGGACTGGGTTCGAACTGAGCAGTCTTTCTCCACAGCCAGGCCTCTCAGCGGCTCAGAGGATGATCCTCCTGGAGCAAAAGCAGATCAGGAAAGCAGGACACGATGGGGTTTGCAAGACAAAGGTCATTTCCTCTTCCCCTGCAGAGTGCCCATAGCCTTTGAGCAGGTTGTAGCCCATACAAGGGCACCTGCCAAGGGGTGAGTGGGAGTTGTGCACACCCAGAGGGGTACCTTTTGCTAATTCATACAACCAAATGGGTGGGTAGCAGGCTCTTCCCCCACCCTTCTACCCCACTTCGAGCTGGCTCTGGAGTCCTGAGCTGCAGAAGCAGCCTTTGTCTCCTGGGTTTGGGCACACCCTAGTTCCTGGCTCCTGCTCACGTCTGGAGGCCAGGGCAAAGGGTGCCCTGCCCGGCTCCCCAAGCCAGTGTCCATGGACGAACAATGGCTGTGCGTGCAGGCGAGCGGGCGTGGGGGGGGGGAAGGCTGGCAGCTCGGGCACTGCCACCGCCCTCTCCACTGGCAAAGTCCACACAGGCTGTATCGTAGAGAGAGGCACTCCCTCAGGAGCTTCCGCTGGTCTAAGCCAAAAGCTACACACCTGTCGTGGCATATGACTTCCTCCATTTTCCCCAAAAGGCAGTCACCATTGTCCCCACCCCCTCTTCCTGCAGATACCAGGCTCAGAGGGGAAGACACCTGCCCAAGGTCACCCTGCCAAATACCTCGGGTAAGAAGGGAGTAACCAGCTCAGCTAAGATCAGGTGACAGAGCCAGGCCTCCTGGCCGGTGGAGGCTAGCACTTGGGGATGCGGGAGCATGGCGGGGTTGAAAATCCCAATTTCTCATCAAGTCTCTGCAAACAGAGGAGCTCTGGGGACTAGTTTGCCACCTTGGGGACAAACTCTTCTGAGTCTGAAATGAACAACTCTCGTTTGCTAATGGTCAAGAAAAGGCCAGGCCCCAGTCTGAGACCTTTCCTGGCAAGAGCTCATGGGATCCACAGGATTCTGACAAGGGTGCTCCCTTCCCCCTCCTTTCACAGATGAGGAAACTGAGGAACAGAGAGGCAGTCACCAGACCAAGGACTCGCAGTGGGTTGGGCAGCAGCCAGGATTGGAGGTAGACGGAATCCTCCCCCCTCACCTCTCCAGCCACTGCCCCAGGGCCCCTCGTGCCTGTCTGTGTGACACCCAAGGACAAAGGAGGGGCCTCTCCCTCCCCAGGATCCCAAGGGACCCCGCCCTGTTCACCTTGGAGGGCAGAAGGGCCCAGGCCAGCCCCAGCTTTGGGGCTGGGCTCCTCCACCCCATTCACACCTTCCTCCTTGCTGACTCATGGCTGCCTGCCCTCCCACTTGTGACCTGATAGGTCAGGAAGGTGTGACTGGAAGTTGGGCTGCTGGGGCAGGGCAGCAGAGAAGTCCAAGGAGGTGCCACGGGGAGCCCAGCCAGAACCCAGGCGGCTCCAGCACAGGGCGGCAGACGCCCACTCCTGGGCTCCCTCTGGCGGGCGAGGGGCAGAAGCAGGAAGCCAACGAGGAGGAGCCAGCAGGGTTAAGAAGTCAACCAATCTTTATTAAAGGCCTGCAGAGCTACTGGGAGGACGCCATGATGCTGGACACACCTGTGGAGAAGAGAAGGAGGGACCAGGGTCAACATGGGCAGAACCTCCAGCCACCAACCACAGCACCCGCACTTTAGACCACGAACTCCTTCTGGGCCCTGGTCACCAACACAAAGGCAGTTTGGGACAGTAAAGGCCTGGATCTGGAACAAAGAGGCCTAGGTTCAAATCGCAGCTCTGCCTTGTACCAGGTGGGCGACCTCAGGCAAGTTACCGAGCATCGGTTTCCCCATCTCTATGAAGCATCCACCCTACAGGATGGCAGGACTCAATGCCGTGCTTAGAACACTGCTGGCACTCAACAGTCGCTATTATTATCATCGTCGTCACCATCCTCACAACGTCTACTGTGGACTATTTGCAGGACACTCCAAGTGCTGGACTGGTCTGTCCCGCCGCAGGGCCCTCTGCTCCAGTGGGTTCCCACACAGAACCCAACACAGCGGGCGCATCTCACGGAGAGGGAGCGTCCACAGTCCTCAAGGGCAGATGTCTGCCCACTTGATCTCGTGCCTCGGTTAGGGACCAGTCAGCCAGTCTGGACCGAGAAGCCACGCTGGACCGAGATGTATCTTTAAAAAGGCAGAATCCCACTCAAGAGAGTGGGGAGGAGACGCAGGGTCCCAGGGGACAGCACACCCGTGCCCAGCCAGGGCTCACTCACTCCAAGACATCCTCACTTTCGCTTCGGCTGAGTCATCAGCGGAGTCTGTGAGTCAATGTGTGTGACGTGTGATGGTGAGGACAATGGCTACACTGAGTGAACTGGGACTGGCTCTGCGCCAAGTGTTATACATGGAAGTGTCTCGCTTCACACCCATACCTCCATGAGGTGGGTCTTACGATATTATTCAGTAACTTCTAACAAGGGCACCTGGCCTAGAGGTTCATGTGAAGACCCATGACTTAATAAGTGTAAAGAACTACCAGCGTTTGTCCTAATTATTGGTGCTGCCATCTGCACTTTCTGGATGAGAAAACTGAGGAACAGAGAGGTAAAATCACTTGCCCAAAGCCACACAGCTACGAAGCAGGGAACCAAGATCCCCACCCAGCTAATCCGACTCCAGAGCCTGCACTTTCTGGCATTTCGCTGCGTTTCAACAGATGCCAGGCTGAGCCCCGAGAGCCTCAAGGACAGAAGGCCACCAGGACAGAGCCCCTGGGAGCAGTATAGGTGTGGAGACCCCTGCAAGGCCCTCCAGGCCCTGGGAAGTGCCAGGGAAGGACACCCAGCACTCCCTGCCATTCCACTCTGGGCGACCTCCTGGCCCTGAACCAGAAGTTATCTACCCGGATCCTTCAGGCCCAGCCCCATCTGTCCAACGGCACCCTCAGCCCCACAGCCTGAGGCCTCGGGCCCCCACTCACTGTCGAAGTCGATCTTCTCCACGATGTTCTTGGGCTTAATGCTTTCTTCCTGGCTGCAGATGAAGATCTGGCCTGACTCGTCGGCACTCCAGCCGTACTTGCTCATCCACACCTTCAGCTGGCTGTCTGCAGGGAACACAAGCAGCAGAGGCCCTGGTTACCCCGATCCCACAGTTTCAGGGGGTCTAGGAGCCAAGGGCGGGGCGCCTTCCGTGCCCGACTGCTTCCAAAGCCACCAGCAGCTCCCATTTGGATGGCGGCAGCAGCTGAACTGCTCTCCAGCTGCCAGCCCTGCGCTGCTACAGTGCATTCTCTTGCCGGCAGCCAGAGGGAGCCCCAGCTTTCGCATCCTTAGCATCACAGGGCTTTCTCTTAGCTTCTTTTATTTTCTATTTCTCTCCCAGTGCAAATCTTGGTTCCTAGTAACGGCCATGTACTTACTTACCTGCTTTTCCCCACAACCCACATGCAACGGTCTTAAATTAGGACACCATCACATCACGAACGAGAAGTCCATGGCATCCGGTGTGAGAATTTCTTTGCAGTTCTGTTTTGCTCTCAGAAAACATACCAGTAAGGACGGCCAGCCAGAGTGTTCTGCTACCTGAAATAATTCTACTCTGTGTGACTATTATCAATTTGATACGTATTCAACTGCTTCTCTTTATATTTAATTCTAATGGTTGTTTCAACCCCTTTTGGTTTAATTTCTTTCTTTTTTTTTTTTTTTTTGAGGAAGATTAGCCCTGAGCTAACATCTGCTGCCAATCCTCCTCTTTTTGCTGAGGAAGGCTGGCCCTGAGCGAACATCCGTGCCCATCTTCCTCTACTTCATATGCGGGACGCCTCCCACAGCATAACGTGCCAAGCAGTGCCATGTCCGCACCCGGGATCCAAACCAGCAAACCCCAAGCTGCGAAAGCGGAACGTGCGCACTTAACCCGCTGCGCCACCGGGCCAGCCCCTAATTTCACTTTTAAACACGTAACACATTTACCTGGTGTAAAGCACTATCAAGTAATACAGTGCCTGACACAAAGTGCCCAATAAAAGTTAGCTTACACTAAAATAATGAAAGGAAATTAAAAACAACACAACCCCACAAAAAAATTATCCCGACCAAAGGGAAAACTACCCCAAAAGGTACTCAGAGAAATCCCATCCCAGCCACTCTCCCCTCTCTTCTCATCCCTCATCCCCAAGGAGTAAACATTCTCCTTAGTTTTTAAATTTTCCTCCCTCTATTTCTTTTTGCAAAAATAACCAAATATACCAACGCATGTTTTTCTTTTCGGAAGGATCTTTTGAAATTTAGATCTGATCCTGTCGCCCCCCCGCTCAGACCCCTCCTGTGGCTCCGTCTCAGGCAGGGTGAGGGACCAAGTCGTGAGGAGGCCCCGCAGCACCTGAAGGCCTCACTCCTCCCACCACACCTCTGCCCCGGCCCCGACCCTCGCGCCCTGGGCTCCAGCCACAGGCCCCGGATGCTCTGTGAACATGACAGGCATACCCCTGCCCAGGGATCTGCACATGCGCCCTGCGCCAGGCTGCCCATCGCGCTCCACTGAGGTAACTGTCGCACGCTGCCCTCTGTCCCCCAGGAGTCCCCTCCACCCCCCGCCCTCTCTCTGGGCTGTCGCAGGAACTGCCACTGGACATGTGCATCTTAACTTGGTGTCTGTTTTGCTGCCTCCGTGAGACCGAATCTGGGCCATTGTGTTTGTCCCCTGCCATGTCCCCAGGGCCTAGAACAGTGGCTGGCACAGAGGGGTGTTCAATTAACTTGTGCAGAAGAAATGAATAAATGCCATAGGCTCCCCCGCAAGGAAGGAACGTTTGTGACTAACTCCTTATGTCCTCCCTGGGCTGGGCCTTCAACAAGGACCTGGTGAGGCAGGGATGAGCGCATCTGAGAAGCTGGCTGAGGCCCACTGCGCCTGAGCCCCAACCTCCTAGACCGACATGAGGGACCCAGAGAGCGCCTCACCCGTCAGGTCCCCGAGCATCTCGGCCAGCAACCAGCGATCAATGTGCTGATAAGTGATGCCCACGACGTGGCAGATGACTGTGGAAGAGAGGGACAGAGACGGTGACGGGCCACACCCCAGGACCCTGCTGCCACAGCCCAGCCCGTCCCCCGTGGAGCCCAGGCTCAGAGAGGGACTTACATTTTCGGACAGAGTCTTCAAAGCCAGTTATACCTTCCAAGAGATCCATGTTTTCATCCAGGGCTTGCTGAGGAGAACAGTAATGTTCACAGTAACGTTAATATTAACAATATGAGAATTATTAATGATATTAAGAATAGAAACTAACACTTGAGCATTCACCCCACATGCCAGCCTTCCTCCCCTGTGACACCTTATGATGAAACAGATACTGTTTTTATGCCCACTTCAGAGATGAAGAAACCAAGGCTCAGAGCAGCTCAGTGATTTGCCCAAAATCAGAGCTGGGGTCTGAGCCTGGCAGAAACCAGTCCCGAGAGGGGACAGATCCAGGTGAGCTAAGGGCTCCCGACCACCTCCTTGCTCCGGGCTCACTCAGGGCAACAGCCAAGTGTCCTTCCACCGCCCATGAGCCCAGGAGATCTACCCGTCGCCTCCTCCCACTCACCCCTCACTGCTCCTCAGACAAGCCAGGCACCCGCCCACCCCGGGACCTTTGCATGGGCTGTTCTTGGGTCTGGCACTCTCCACCCCCATGGCTAACACCCCTACTCCTTTAGACTTCTGCTCAAAGGTCACCTTCCCAGAAAGGGCTGCCTCCAACACTGGTGACAGACATGAGGAACCCGCAAGGACACCGGAAGGAGCAGCCGGTGAGGTGGGAGAGAGGTAGGAGGGGAGCTGGCCTGGAAGCCTAGTGATAGAAGGGTCTGAGGGAGCAGTGCGTGACTGCCCCACAGGAGGCGGCCCACAGGGCAGGGAAGACAGGAGCTGAGGACCGCCTGCTGGGTCCAGCAATAGGGATGTCACTGTTTACCTCCACGAGCGCAGTCTCGTGGAGTGTGTTGAGAACCGGGGGGCAAAGCATTGGTCATAAAAGCCTGAATGGACTGAATGGAGTGGCTTCAAGTGAGTGGGAGAGAAGGGGAGACTGAGCACAGGCAGCCTGTCCCGGGAGCAGGGTGACCAACAGTGCTCGCCTATGACTGAGGGGCTCCCTGGGGTGTGAGACTTCAGTTTTAAAACCAGCAAAGACGCAGGCAAACTGGGACGGCCAGGAGCATGGCCGTGGAGGGGAGCGGAGGAAGGGGACAGGAGGCAGGGCCAGTGGGGAACATGGAGGTCAAGGGAGAGCTCTCAGTTTTAGGCCAGAACTAAGCGCAGGGTAGACGTGTTCCGTGGGGACAGAAGTTATCCACGAAGGCCAAGGCGGCCGTTAGGGGAGAGCAGGGAGAGCCGCTGGTGCGATGCCACCATGTGGGCGAGAGGGAAGGGGCCAGTGCAGCAGGGGAGGGCTGGCCTGGCACGGGAGGAGAGACAGGTCACCCACTAAAACAGACAAGGGCTCGGTCAGCGGCAGGGCAGGGACGCGTGCGAGTTCTCCCTTGGCTGCTTCTGCTTTCCCGCTAAGTAAGAAGCCAGATGGTAAGTTGAGGCAAGAAGAAAGGTGGGGCAGACGACAGGTGTGAGGGGCTGTCCAGGAGAGCTGGGGGGGGGGGGGAGGCACTAACTGGGGAGGAGACAGGACCCTAGGAGGTTCCTAGGAGGAACGCACGATTGATGCTAAAGGAGGAAGCAGCGCAGAGGACTTCGGGCTGCTGGACAGGCCCAAGAATGTTGGGTGGGAGACCTCAAGGAGGGAGCTGGGAAGCCGGGAGGAAGCGGTCAGGGTGGAAATGTCTGACACTCACGGGCAGAGCGGGCAGTTCCTGGTGAAGACGAGCCTGGGGAAGTGAGAACCACCTGGGAAAACTGTCAGGCCCCAAAGCCTAGATCACACCCACACCAATTACATCAGACTGTGAGAGGGCAGGACTCAAGTCTCACTGGGTTTTTTTTAACTCCTCTGGAGTCCTGTGTGCTGAGAACTGGGCTAGGGTACGGCTGGGAGTGATGGGCGGAGGTCATGAGGAGGACAAGAGATGGAGGAACCGAGAGGTCGCAGTGGTAGAAGGGTCACTGGACTGGCTTTTCAAGCCTCTGAGAATGAGGACAGGAGTCGTAAGGGGCCGCAGCAAGGAGCAGCCACCTGGGGGCGCTGACACCAACCAAGTCGGGCAGGAAGGGGTAACACTGCAGCTTCCAGACGGGGTGGGAGACGGGTGTGGGAGTCGGGTGTGGGAGTGGTGGTGAGAAGCAAGGTGGCCAGCCGGCCTCCCTTTCGGGAGGCTGCAAAAATGGAGAGCCGGGCTCTTTAGAGCAAGAAAGGGAGAGGGCGTTCAGGGGTGAGGCCTTCGTGGGAAGGATGGCTGTGTGTGTGAGCCTGAGCCCTGGGGGCACAGGGGACGGCCTGGGAATCCCGGCTCCTTGTGAGGATGACCATTCCATGAGATCCCGCACGCAAAGCCCTGAGCACAGGGCCCAGTGCCACCCTGCCCCCGCACCCAAAGGAAGTCACCCAGAAGGCCTGGAAGTGGCAGGTCTCCAGCAGGTCTCCGAGGTACAAAATCTGCCGGATCGGCCGTTCTTCTTGCTGGGAGGAGGAAGCGTTAAGGAAAAACGGCCTCGGAGCCTGAGGGTGCAGGTACTTAGTCCTAGACGGTCCCTCCCCGCCCACCGTCTGTTCCCCGCAGCAGGGTTTATAATGGCACAAGTGAGAAACAACCTAATGATCCAATGATGTGGACGATTAAATCAACGCTGGCCCGTCCACACGCTGAGATCAACTCAACTCTCAGAGAACTGAAGTGGAGAACGCGACAAGACACACTGAAAGCTAGATGCACGACGACGAGCAGAGTAGCCTACCATTTGGGTGGGGGCAGATGTGTATATAAACACACTCGCCTGTCCTTGTGTATCTATAGGATATTGGCAGAAAGGGACCCAAGAATCACAAAGAATTACTGCCTCCTGGGAGGGGAACGGGGTGGCTACAGAACAGGGGAGGGAGGAAGCTTTGTCTTTTTTCCCCGTTTTTTTTTAAGGAAGATTAGCCCTGAGCTAACTGTTGCCAATCCTCCTCTTTTTGCTGAGGAAGACTGGCCCTGAGCTAACATCCGTGCCCATCTTCCTCTACTTTATATGTGGGACGCCTGCCACAGCATGGCTTGCCAAGCAGTGCCATGTCTGCACCTGGGATCCGAGCCGGTGAACCCCGGGCCGCTGAAGCAGAATGTGCGCACTTAACCGGTGCGCCCCCGGGCCGGCCCCTGCTTTTTTGTACTTTTAACAGTGTACTGTATGCCTTCTTTTTAAGCCACCAGAACAGAACCTTGGGGAAGGTGGACCATCTCCCAGGAGGCAGGCACTCCAGACACACGTGGCAGATCAGGTGCAGAGTGGGCCAGCATTCCTCAGCTCAGCCCCGCCTGCCTCGGCTCAGGCAGTACGTGTGACAGTCTCGGGGCTGAGCGCTACAAGCACAGGGCCGGCAAGGACAGGGGACTCGGCCAAGTTCGTCAAGTGATGAGATGCACATCATAAAGCTCAGGTGACAATCCAGCTCACCTTCATTCCTCCTGCCTGTGCACAGCCCCTATCCCCACCTGCTACTTGCGTGGTAGTCTTTACTCAGCTAGGCACCCTCATGAGCATCTTTCTAAATCTCCCCACATCACTCTGCAGCTTTAAAGCCTTCTATGGCTCCCCAGTGCCCTTTCTGAGTCTGACCAAACTCCACCTTGAAGTCTGTGGCACGGCCATGCTAAACTTCCTCTACTGCCTTATAGACAGCACTGAGCTCTTCTTTTCCTCTAGGCCTCCCTATGCACTGTTCCCTCTGCCTGGATCACCGTTTCCTACTGCTTCACCCAATTCTTCACCTTTCAGATGCTGCCTCCTCCAGGAAGCTCTCCCTAACCCCCAGGCTGGGGTCAGGCACCTCCTCTGGCCCCTCCAACCCCAAGCCCAGACCACTCCAATCTGTCACCGCCAGGGGCCTGTCTCCCCCCCGGACAATGAGCTGCATGAGGGCAGCGCCCCAGCCCCACCCAGCACTGGGCCAAGCCCAAAGCAGGCTGTCAGCATCTGTGGCTGAACTCACAGACCCCTTCCCCGTGACTTCCCCACCCTGCCCCGCCCCTCCGCACACACCCGCCCAGGAGCTGGAAGGATACGTGTGCCTGGTCGATCATGCACTTGCACAGCGTGAAGTCGGTGTGGGGCAGGTTGGTAAGGGCCTTCAGCAGGATCTGGGCGGTGACCGTGGTCTGAAAGAAGGCCGGGTTGAACTGGTACCTGAGACGGGGAACAAGAGACACAGCAACAGTGGCATCTCCAGGTCCCTGGGCCTCACCAGCTGCCAGGCGGGCTGCCCACTGCTTTGGCCCAGAGCTTGGGAGCTGGACATGCCTGGACTCCAATCCCAACAACAGTCCCCTCTGGCCGTGTGACCTTAACCTCCCTCAGCCGCCTCTCCTGCTCTGTAGACGGGGACGGTTAAGCCTCACAGCCACCCAGCAAGGCAGACGCTGTTCAGGGATTCACAAGCAAGCGAGCACAGAAGTAGCCATCTGGAGGAGTGGTGAGGGCCCTGGAGGCAGACTGCCTGGGTGTAAACTTCCTTGCCAAGTGACCATGGACTACTCATTTTAAATTCCCTGTGCGTCAGTTTCTCCCCTTGCAAAAGAGAACGATAACAACCATACCCACCTCTCAAGGGCCCTGGAGCACCTAGGTGAGTTCACACAAAGCCTACAGCACCGTAACTACACAGGCGAGCGCTCACAAGGCAGTGGTCCCCACCAATAACAATCTAAACAAGCCCAAATGCAAGCGTTGTTATCACCAACCTACAGGTGTTAAAACTGAAGCTACGTGATCTGCAAAAATTACCCAACTGGTAGTGTGTCAATAAAGGACCGGGGGGGGGGGGAGAACCCCAACATCCATCCACAGGAGAATGGATAATCAGGACACGGTGACACCGTGGAACACGATACAGCAATGACAACATACAAACCACAGCCACACAGAGAATGGAAAGATCTCACAGACCTAGCACTGAGTGGAAGATGCCAGATGCAGAACAGCACATGCTGAATGACATCTGTGTGCCATTCAGAGCACGCAAACCTGAGCTAAGCTAGCCAGGATGCATACATGTGTGGTAAACTCACCCAGAGGCAGGCCAGGAGAGCATGAGAGTGGTTACCAGGGTGGGGAATGGGGTGGCCGGCACAAAGCGTATGGGACAAAGGCCTGGGACACCAGCAACACTCAATTTTGCAACATGGATGGTGATCACGTGGGTGTTCATTTATAATTACTTGTAAGACTATCTGTTTTATATACTAGCTCATATGTGTACCTTGGAATGACTCTTTTTAAAAACAGGGGGCCACGCCCAGTTGTGTAGCAGTTAAGTTCGCATGCTCCACTTTAGTGGCCTGGGGTTTGCAGGTTCAGATCCTAGGTGCAGACCTACACACCTCTCATCAAGCTATGCTGTGGTGGCATCCCACATACAAAATAGAGGAAGCTTGGCACAGATATCTGCTCAGGGACAATCGTCCTCACCAAAGCAGACCAAACCAAACCATCCTCCTCCTGCCCCACTTCCCTGGCTTCCTCGTTTTGCACACCAAGAGAAGCCACATCCTGCAGGCTACCCCCAACTCCCGCCCAACCCAGGGTTGGGAGTGGCACCCTGCTGGCTGCTGGCATGGGGTTGGGGACGGAGGCAGACACTCACAGCTTCAGGACAGCCAGGTTGGCTTCTAGATCATAGGCATTCTCCTTGGCCTGCGTCTCCACGTAGCGCTCCAGGGTGGCCAGATTCTCAGGATTGTACCTGGAGGAGAATCAAGATGGGTGAATAGAGAGGAGACAGGAGCTGAGGCCAGTCACTGTATGGGACGAGAGCGGGGGAAGGAAGGAGGCACGGTAACTTCTCCCTCCCTCCCTCCCTTTCCTCTCAATCTGGCACTAGCCAGCTGCTCTAGCCAAGTCCTGAATCAGCTCTATACCCTCTAAAAAAACTTACCCACATCCCAGACCTAAGGCTAAGCTCTAAACCCCCTCGGAGCCCTGGGTCTTTCCTAGGATGCCTCCTCAACCTCTCAGCTGATCAGTCACGGCTGGCTGTGTACCTGGCCTCCTGGACATCTCTGGCACCCACTCCTTCCTCCCCTCCCCAGGCCCCCACTCTGGTCTAGCCCCATCCTCTCCGGCCTGGCTTCCTCCATCACAGCCCTGAGCACTCCAGGCTAGCACTGTCTGCTGTCGGGTTTGCCTGGACTGTGAACTGGGAACTCCACGAAAGCATGGCCTGGGACTGTCCTGGTCACCTCTGGTCCCCGGCACTGATGGAGTAGATTTTAGTGAACATGTATTGAATGAACAACACAAGGGGAAAAGAAAGGAGGAAGCAAGAGACACTGAGACCCAGTGAGAGCCTGAGGAGCAGAGAGAGAGGAAACTGAGGGGCACAGGGGGCGCCTTGAGACAATCAAAGACGAAGAGAACGACAGCAAGATAGCAAGGCTATCTCCTGCCTCTAGGCCTTTACAGGGCTGTCTCCCGAAACATCCCCCAGATGACAGGAAATCCCACCCCACGGCAAGCGCAGGCCCCTGACCATCCCCTGCTCTCCCAGAAAACCCTCTCCTCCATCCCGCCTGAGCAGAAGCGCTCCCTCCGGCCGGGCTCAGACCTGTCGATGCCCTTGAGTAACTTGCCAACGTTCGCTCTCATCTGCTCAAACATCGCCATGCCTGCTGTCGCCTCCCACACCGGGGCTGGAGACTACCACCGGGCGCCACAGCGTCCTCGAGGACCGGAAAAGGAAGAGGCGCCGGAAAGGGAAACTACGTCTTTGTTTTCCCCGCAGCCCCGGGGGCGGGGACGGGGAAGGCTCTTGCGGCGGCTGCCACGCTTTCCGGCTGCCACGTGACTTCTGCCCCGCGGGCGCAGTTGGCACATGCGCACACGCTCCCCCCGAGCTCAACCGACGGCGTGAGAAAAAGCTTCGTCTAGTTCAGTGCGCAGGCGCGTTATCGGGGCGAGGAGGCGGGGCTAAGCTTTTCCCGGGCCTCGCGAACCCGGGTCTAGCTCCCGGGAAGTTCGCGCCGACTGTCTGGGAAGGACGCGGAACTCTAATCGCGTCGCGCGTGGCCGTGAACTCACAAAACTGCTGGAATGCATGTAGTGGCTTGGCCAGGCGCCGAGGGTGGAGCTCTCTAAGATCCCCTTTGCCCTAGGCAGGACCCTGAGCTCTGCAGTTTCAAGCCTTGAACTTGCTCCCCAGGCTCCACCCTAACTTGCAGGGGTAGGGGCCCGCAAAGATGCTGTGCTGTGTCCGGTGGGGGCTGGGGTGAGGGGCTGCCGCATCGCGGCCAGTCCCCATAGGCGTCAGTCTTGTGAGTGAAGGCCGGCCCCCATGTGTGCCTTCATGACTTATGTGTGTACAGATTGAGCACACTGCGGGCGTGAACGCACACGCATATGTCATATATGTGGAGGTATGAGCTCTGGGTACATGCGCATGTGTGCAACATACAGGTACCCAGGCATGTGTACGTCGCCTGGTCTGCGCACCGCACAGGGGAGTACCACTAAGATCATGTGTGTGCCCCAGGCGAATAATAACGTACACTGCATGGCCATCCCTGTGCAAACTTGCCATCTCCGGGTTGTGGCCAAACCCTCAAGCACTCTGCAGAGGTTCAACGGTGGTTTTTAGTCACCTCCCAGAATGGAGGAGGAGGTGCTAGGGCACCCCCCAGATCACAATCAAGATATTTTGCATCTGGTTTACATTCAGCCCAGAGCCTTGGAGGTGCAGGGGGGTCCCCTGGGTCCCCACGCAAGCTGCCCCTCACAGTCTCTCAGGGCCCAGGGGACAGGGGGTGGAGCCAGCTGCACAGCCCTGCGCTGGGGCAGGAAGCGAGAGTGGGGAGGGGGGAGGCCACAGCCGGTGGAGGCAAGGCGGGTGCAGGGCTTGTGGGGAGGGAGGGAGGTGCCAGCACTCGAGCCCTGAGGCCCTGCTGGCCGCTGGGCGCAGGCCCAGCTCCGGCCCCCAGGGATGGACCTCGTGGACCCCGACATCTTTAATAAGGACCCGCGGGACCACTATGACCTGCTGCAGCGGCTGGGTGGCGGCACCTATGGGGAAGTCTTCAAGGTAAGGAACCCCCTCCTTCTCCATCACCCTCAAGCAAGTGACCTTTGGGGTGAGGCCCAAGAAGGGAAGGGGATGCGAGAGGGTCCCAGTCCTCGGCTTTGACTCAAGGATGCTGAGGAGGAACTCCGGCGAATGGAGCCTGCCTCAGTGCCAACTTCCCCTTTACAAGGCTCGAGACAAGGTGACGGGGGACCTGGTTGCATTGAAGATGGTGAAGATGGAGCCTGGTGAGGAGAGGACCCAGGAGCTCCGTCCCCACCCCCACCCCCACCCCTACCTTCTGGGACACAGGGATCTCCCCCATGCTCCCTCCCTGCAGCGGCCTTTTCTCTCCTGCCCCTCCTCACAGATGACGATGTTTCCACACTTCAGAAGGAAATCCTCATCTTGAAAACTTGCCGGCATGCCAACATCGTGGCCTACCATGGGAGTTATCTCTGGTGATGAGCCGCGGACCCAACCTGGGACCCAGCCCAGCCCTTACCCCAGAGCCCCCATTCCTGACCCAGGCGTCCCCCTAACCTGACCTCCAATCCGGGACCCCCATTTTTTTAACTGGGGCACCCCTAACTTAACTTCCCAGTCAGAAGTCCCACTTTTCTGACCAGAACACCCCCTAATCTAATCCTCAATCTAGAACAACCGTTTCTAACCAGGGGTCCTCAAAATCGATCCACTCCTGCTAACCAAACCTGAAACCAAGTCCCCTAAAACTAATCTCTCATCATCCTGCCCTCAGGTCCCCCAGTTTCACTCTCTGCTCCTTTATTATGAACCCTGAAATTCCCTGACCCCAACTTAATATCCCATATGCCCCAGTCATGACCTGTGTCCCCCAGACCTGTCACCCTGAGCACCTGTGTCCCCTCCCAACCTCCACAACCTTTGAGATCTCTGCCCTCTCTCCTAGGTTAGCGTGTGACAGCAGAGGGGGCCCTGGGTTAGGAGCCCAAAGACCTGGGTTTGAATCCAGTTAACCCTGAGTGTGCATTTCCTCTCTGAGCCTCAACTTCCCCATTGATAAAATGGAAGTGGGATGATCTCACTCTGGTGGGCAAGGGGAATAGAGAGATGACAGCTGTTACAGTAAAGTTCCCGTGCAACTAGAATAAGACAGATGGCGAGCCAGGGGCTATTCTATAAATAGTAATTTATTACTGCTATCAGTATTATTACTCTTGAACTGTTGTAGGCTACAGAAGCTCTGGATCTGCATGGAATTCTGTGGGGCTGGTTCTCTCCAGGACATCTACCAAGGTGAGAGGAGGGACAAGGGGGTCCAGGCAGCCCTCACCCCTCCAATCACCTCTCCTGTCTCTATTTGTGTCCCTTTTTTCTGGTCCATATTCCACACAGTGAGCCCTCTGGGCCTGGGCCTGGCTGAGATGATGCTGGGGATACTGTGGGGACCGAGTGAGCCCTGGGCCCTGCCCCCTGGGACCTGACAGATGAAGTCCAGCCTTAATCTTTCTGCCTGCGATGATTCCCTCTACCTCCCCTCCCCATCTTCCTCTGGGTCTGCATTTTCTCGCCAAGGTCCGTTCTTGTGTTTGAGTATTTCTGCATTTCTGGCTCATAGTCGGTACCCACATTTTCGTAGAATGAGTGAATGAATTTCTGATTTGCCCTTTCAGCCTGCTTTTTGAGAATTTGAGGGTGGGGGGCGGGGTGAGCCTCTGATCACCTCTCAATTTCTGATGCCCGCCTCTGTCTTTGACCATGTCCCTGTCTCCCTCCGGTCCAAGACCTCAAGTGGCAGAAAAAGAAGGACTTCATTAAGAAGTCCTCAGGGGGGAAACTGAGGCCCGCTGAGAGGAAGTGACTCACACAGCCAGTCTGTCAGACCTGGTCTCTGACCCCCTCTCTCTGTCTGTTGTCTCTCTCTCCAGCCCTCTGTGTCTCTCTCTTTCTTGGTATCTCTGTCTTCACACGTTTTGGTCTCTGACCATCTGTTTCTTTCTCTGCCTCAATTTGGATCTGTTCCTGCTTCTCTGTCTTTCTGTTTTTCTCTCTCTCTCTCTGTCTTTCTTCATTTTGCAGCATCACATGCCGCCCCCTCAGACCCCTCCCATGGCTTCCATTTCCCTCCAAAGAGAAGCCCAGACTCCTTGTCCTGCCCCTGAGGCTGACCCCAACTCCCGCCCACAGCCAACAGGCCTCACCTCTTACCTCTTTCCTCCCCGAACTCCTCCGCTCCACCCACTTGGCTGCCTTCCAGACCCTCCAGGCACTGGCCCACCTCTGCTCTGGCTCCTCTTGTTTCCCCCTCGGAGCGGGACCGCTCACGTCTTTACCCCGTCACCGTCTTAGAGCCATCTTCACTGACCACCCTGTGTAAAATGTCATACCCCTTCCCACACATATTTCCTGTTGTCTTTTCTTGCTTTATTTGTCTTCTTACTATTTATTAGCCTCTCATGTAGCACGTCTTTCATTTATTCATCTTGTTTGCTGTCGGTCTCCCCCACTGGAATGTTCTCTCCATGAGGGCAGGGATCTCCATCTCTTTTGTCCGCAGCTGTGTCCCCAGTGCCGACCCAGGGCCTGGCACGCAGTCGACGCGCAGTAAATATCTGCTGAATGATTCTGTCTCCCTCTGGCCTCTGGTTCACAGCATCACTGTCCCCCTCTGTGACTGACCACCCCTCCCTCTTCCCCTCTCACTTGTCCTGTCCTGTTTCCCACTCCCCATGTGGCACCCTCTCAGCCGGTATGGGTGGGGACTGGGGCTCTCGGGCCCAGGTTCCCTGGGTCCCACTCAATGCCACGCTGGGGTGACCTTTGCAGTGACAGGCTCCCTGTCAGAGCTCCAGATCAGCTATGTCTGCCGGGAGGTGCTCCAGGTGAGGAGGGGCCTGGTGGGGCTGGATGGGGGCAGGAGCCTGCTCCAGCCCCCAGACGCTCACGGCCCCCATGTCTCCCCTCCTCCCCAGGGACTGGCCTATCTGCACTCACAGAAGAAGATACACCGGGACATCAAGGTGGTCTGGGGGCAGAAAGGGGGCACCCTCAGAAAGGGTGGTGGGCTCAGGAGACGGGAGTGGTGTTGAGCTATGGGGAGACCGGGGCTGGAGGTGGTCTTGGGCTGCGGGGGGTGTCTCTGATAGCCTCTAATCCCCCCTCTTGTCCTCAGGGAGCCAACATCCTCATCAATGACGCTGGGGAGGTCAGACTGGGTGAGTGTGGCTGGTGGGGGTGCGCAGGGGGACTGGTTGGGGGCCACAGGGGATAGGGGACCCCAGAGGATCAGGGACCCCAGGTCACCATGTCTCTCCCTCTGCCTCCAGCTGACTTTGGGATCTCGGCCCAGATCGGGGCGACGCTGGCTCGACGCCTCTCTTTCATTGGGACGCCCTACTGGTGAGGGTGCCTGGTGGGTGGCTAGGGATGGAGTGGGGGGCCGCAGCTTTGCCCACCCCGGATCCCTGGGAATCTCCTTCCTGGCTCCTGTCCCCTGCCTCTGTCCTTCTCTGTTGAACATTCTGTCTTGTCTTGAGTTCCCCTGTACGGAGGTCTCTCTGTGCCCCCTCCGCCTGTTTCTCTCAGTGTAGTGTTGATTTTGTTCCTGATCTTTCTGTCTCTCTATATCATCTCTGCCTTTTCCCTCTGCCTCGTGGCTCTCTCTCTCTCTGTCTTCCAGTCTGTCTCTGTCTTTCTGTCTTTACTGTGTGTCTGTCTGTATTTCT